TTGTATCCGGACTCCTGACCTGCACTCTGTTTACTTTATTTCTCCATTTTGTGATATATTCAAATCAATAGGTGTATAAATAAAATAGAATAAAGATAGAATAGCTCCAGATATATGAAAACCCTTCTCTGATGCTAAAAATGGGTTATAACCCAGAGCAAATAGCAGAAATAAACCAAACAAATGAGGGTCAGAGCCTAAAAATAGAAAAGACAAATATTCACCGAAATATTTGGAAAGGGAAATTGTGTCATTAGAGTAGACAACTGCTGTATGGTTTGAGCCTATCTTATCTGCTCAATTCCATGTGAGTGTGACCAATACTCTTTTTTAGTCACAAGAGGACTTAATGATACACACCATATTCTTTTTCTTGTTTATTTTCTATCCTTTTACGCTCCTTTTATGCTCTCCAGTTAAGCTATATAATATGGTACACCCCCAGTATAGAGGTAAGTGACTATTGGGTTTTGTATAAAGCGCTCTACTCGTAAAGGCTGACCGTTGCTTGTTCACCCTGAGGCAATTTAATTTTTAAGAGAAAATAACTATTTTAATAATTTTATTTTGTTTGCTTAGTAGATAAGTGCCTAATTTGCTATTGTTATGACAAGGAATAGATCAAAAACAAATTTTTGTGATTTGTTCTGCTTTATTTAATTTGAAATCACCAAAGTGGATGCTTCCAATTTGCTGAATTTGACTTAAATTAGATTCGAAAGTAAATGAATTGCACTATCTAAGGGTCAATACAATCTGCTATGTACTAGCCTGTTCATTAGCATGAATATACAACAGATTGAGACTTGAAGAAAAGAGTTTTCACTTACAGCAGAGGAAAACTTTCTTTACAGTGAGGACAATAAAGATCAATCTCTAAATAAAGAGGGTCTCTTCTCAAATTTAATAGCTATGTTAAATTACATCTACCATTGGAGCTCTCAGATAACTCTTACATGTGTCTTCCTGCAACTGAAACTGGGATGAGATCATAGTTTCTCCATTACTGAAAGGTTTATATCTCCATATATGGTCAGGTGCAGTGACATCATAAAACACTGTGATATCATCTGATGGAACAATGAATGTCACAGTGACCGATACTCAGAGAGACTGGGCATCTTGTGAGGGGACAGTGGCTGCTGCATTATCCAAGTGCTATTTTCCAGAATTATATCAGTTAGCTGAATGCATTGCAGGTAAGGTTAACATAAAAGCTTTACAGAGATTGGTCAGTTTAGAAACATAAGAGATTTCATACACAATTGCCCATATTGTACATCCATTCACAGACTCTATTTCATCATTATTTTCCACACTTTAATTGCATTAAGGGCTTAGTGATGATCTAATAAACTATAAAGGAATGGTACAGACCAATATTTCATAGACTATAATAAATCTAGAATATTTATCCATCCATTCAGGAATTGCCAATTATATTCTTAGGGAATGTAAGACAAGCTGTAATGTCTTCTTTTTAATGTAATTTGAAAACATGTGACCTTTATAAGCCATATTAGTTACTGTGTTACATAACTGGGTGGGATGGGAAGATTTGTAAAGTTCAGAAGTAAAAGAAAAATTCAACTGGTCTGTGTGTGTATGATGATTGTAAGGGTTAATATTATGTATGTTAAACCTTGAAGGAGGAAGTGGACAGTCTGTAGGTTAACCCAAAGAAGCCATTGTGGTTCGTCTGCTTCTGCTTAGCTTAGAGCTGGGATACAATAACACTGACTATTAATGTTGATTTGTTTCCTGAATTCCCTTTAGATATAATTAGTTACTTTCTATCTGTTTTATTTCAGATTTCGGAAATGTGGTTTATTTAATCACATGCCCTGTATGTAACCTGCAATATGTAGGGGAAACTGAACGGAAAGTGAAGGATCGTATCAGAGAAGACATTAAGAGCATTGAATCTGAAGGCGTGGTTACCATGGTGATTCCTCATTCTCTGGCATTTCATGATAGAAATGTAAGTAGTTTCTGTTTCCAGGTTATTCAGAGAATTGAGCGACGGCTAAAGGTGAGTGACCTGAACCACATTCTTTGGTTTGTTACCTAGGGCCTCATCTGGATTGAATTAAATTATTAGGGGGTATAGAGACTAAGATATAGATTTGAGGAGTGGTAGTTACCCTGGGATTCCTTAGGCTAATCTCAAGAGGTGGGTTTTAAGGGACTTCTTAAAGGATTGGAGACTTGTGCATAGACTGGGTTTGCGTTCCCACATCAAAGAAATCCTACAAGCGTGAGTTAGCAGAACAGTTACGAGAAGTGGATAGGAGAAGGTCAGGGTCAGAGTGGCCCCAGGTAAAGCCGCACCCTTGAGAGCTGTACTCTGCAAGCTAGACCATACCAAGGAGGAGTGCTTTGGGCCCAGCTCCACTAGTGAGAGCCACACTCTGCCAGGCTCGGGTTCCACTGAGGAGCAACACCCTGGTTAAAGCCCCACTAGTGAGAGGACTGAATACATCAAATTGTGGTAAGTTATTGTGAATAATTTTAAGATTATATAATTTAAAGGCTAAGCATAGAGAACTGCCACCAAATTAATAGCTAACACATTGAATATTTCTGCCGGATTTCAACCAGATTTGATTTTACTAAAAATGATAATTGCCAATCTGGTCTGAATCTAATAATTTTTACTGTATTGTGAATGGATAGGCATAATAGTGAATATGCTTCCTTTTTGTAAACAGTGTATTGACCAAATTACCAAATATTTACATTTCTATACTGTATAGAATTACTACATGTTCAGGATGATTATTTATCAAGCACAGTATTACCCAAATTCAACTTAGCACATTCAAATTTAATTTAGTAAACACTTGAACATTAAATACAGTGAAGTTATTGGGAATAATTTTCAAGTTATATCATTCAAAGGCTAAACATAGTGAACTGTCCCCAAATTATTAGTTAAGGCACTGTATATATCTGCCAGATAATTCCTCTGCAGGCTAGGGCTCCAGAAGGAGGAGAGCTTCGGGCCCAGCTCCACTAGTGAGAGCCGCACTCTCCCAAGTTTGGGCTCCACCGAGGAGCAGAACACCAGGCCCAGCCACACTAGCGAGAGCCGCACTCTCCCAGGCTCGGGTTCCTGCAAGGAGCAACACCATGAGCTGAGCCCCACTAGTGAGAGGATAGAATACATTAAATTCAGGTAAGTTATTGTGAATAATTTTAAGATTATATAATTTAAAGGCTAAGCATAGTGAACTGCCCCCAATTTATTAGTTAACACACTGAATATATCTGCCAGATTTCAACCAGATTAGATTTTTACGAAATATGAGAATTGACCATCTGTTCTGAATCTAACCACATTTACTGAATTGTGAATGGATAGGCATAATAGTGAATACTCCTGTCTTTGTCTAAACAGTGTATTGACCAAATTACCAAATATTTACATTTCTATAGTGTATAGAATTATTACATGTTCGGGATTATTTTTTTATCATGCACAGTATTCCCCAAGTTCACCTTAGCACATTCAAGATTAATTTAGTAAACTCTAGAGCATTAAATTTAGTGGGTATTTGGAATCATTGCCAAGTTACATCATTTAAAGGCTAAACATAGTGAACTGTCCCCAAATTATTAGTTAGCACACTGTATATATCTGCCAGATAATTCCTCTGCAGGCTAGGGCTCAACAAGGAGGAGAGCTTCGGGCCCAGCTCCACACTCTTCCAAGAGCCGCACTCTCCCAAGCTTGGGCTCCACCGAGGAGCAGAACACCAGGCCCAGCCCCACTAGCGAGAGCCGCACTCTCCCAGGCTTGGGTTCCAGCAAGGAGAAACACCATGAGCTGAGCTCCCCGAGTGAGAGGATAGAATACATTAAATTCAGGTAAGTTATTGTGAATAATTTTAAGATTATATAATTTAAAGGCTAAACATAGTTAACTGCCCCCAAATTATTAGTAAAGAGTGTATTGACCAAATTACCAAATATTTAAATTTCTATAGTGCATTGAATTATGACTTGTTCAGGGTTAATATTTATCATGCACAAAATTCCCCCTAATTCAATTTTGCACATTCAAGTTTAAATTAGTAAACACTTGAACATTAAATTTAGAGACGTTGTTTGGAATAATTTCCAAATTACATAATTTAAAGGCCAAACATAGTGAACTGTCCCCAAATTATGAGTTAACACACTGTATATATCTAACAAATGGATAACGGTTCAGCGCTAAATAATCTAAAAGAAACTAAAATAAGTATAAAAGCTGCAACCTATAGAAATGAGGTCCCTCAACAAGCCTCACAAGGAATAAGATAGACAAAAATGGGTATATAGGTCGCGCTGAAGGGACAGAGAGGTGATATGAATTGAATGAATAAATATAATAAAAAGTCCCAAATAGTAGAAAAACCTGTATATTTCTTGGGTGAATATAAAGTCCAAATGAATGTCTGAAGCTTCTTATGTTGGAGATGTCTTGATTCGCTTGTCGATATGTGGGTACATAAAAGAGATAAGAAGAACTCCAATAGTGTAGGATGTCGACAAATTTTCAGATATAAGTCTGTGAGTAGGTAAAAAACTCACCTTAGCATGAGCAAAAAAAACTTTGCTCAAGTATTCTTAGCGTTCAGTGGCGTCAATCCCCCACTGGTCGGATATAGGTGATGAAGTCCTGAGTAATTCCTCGATATGTGGAGAGATGGGAGACGTATATAGTGCTCACTGAATTATTTTAAAAAACAAATAAAATGGTAAAATACTCACATGTATATGAGCAGGAACTACTGCTCAATATAGTGGCGCAGGTGGTACAATCCCCACCTTGGATTCTTGGAAAGTAGCGTACTTCAATCCAAATCGGTGACCAGGTAATTCAAATTAAAAAAAGAATTAAAAGTATATATAGGCATAAATAAAAGCCAATATTCCTTTATTAAAATATAATATATCAGTATATAAAACAAACTAATAACAGCCAAAACACGTTTCACCACACAGGGCTTTATCAAATGGCATTAAAAAGAGAGAAAAACCTGGTACAGTAAATGATTTTATAAACTAAGAAAGACAGATAGGGATTCGAATTTTGGCGCCAAAATGAAGTCACTCATAAAATATGCATAATTTAGAACATTTTCAAAACTCAAAATTTAAGATATAGGAACATTTTGTAATAAAATCTAAGAATGTCTCTATGCTTAACATAATAAAACGAGCCTTATTAACATTATAATGCACATGTAAATATGATATAATTGAGGAGCATGTGATCGCGACCAACACATATTCAAAAGTCTAAATTTAGGATATAGGGGCATATTTGGGTGGAGTCTAAAGGTATCTATGTACTTTAAATAATAAAACGAGCGTTATTAACGATAAAATATTTAAAGGACACGTGATCGCGAACCTCCCGCGATCACGTGATTGAAACCGGGCATTGTGAGAAATGTATGCCGAAGCCGGGAGATCGGCGTGAAAATGTTCTGCCCGTCTCTCGGCATCAGCACAAATGGGGGAGGGCATATTAAGGCAGGAAAGATAGCCTTTATAATAGTGAATATGCTTCCTTTTTGTAAACACTGGATTGACCAAATTACCAAATATTTAAATTTCTATAGTGTATAGAATTATGACTTGTTCAGGAATATTATTTATCATGCCCACTAGTCCCCCTAATTCAATTTAGCACATTCAAGTTTAATTTAGTAAACACTTGAACATTAAAATTAGAGACGTTATTGGGAATAATTTCCAAGTTACATAATTTAAAGGCTAAACATACTGAACTGTCCTCAATTTAGTAGTTAAGGCACTTTAAATATATCTGCCAGATAATTCCTCTGCAGGCTAGGGCTCAACAAGGAGGAGAGCTTAGGGCCCAGCTCCACTAGTGAGAGTAGCACTACCCCAAGCTTGGGCTCCACTGAGGAGCAGAACACCAGGCCCAGCCCCACTAGTGAGAGTCGCACTCTCCCAGGTTCGGGTTCCAGCAAGGAACAACACCATGAGCTGAGCCCCACTAAAGAGAGGATAGAATTCATTAAATTCAGGTAAGTTATTGTGAGTAATTTCCAAGTTACATAATTTAAAGGCTAAACATAGTGAACTGTCCCCAATTTAGTAGTTAAGGCACTTTAAATATATCTGCCAGATAATTCCTCTGCAGGCTAGGGCTCAACAAGGAGGAGAGCTTAGGGCCCAGCTCCACTAGTGAGAGTAGCACTACCCCAAGCTTGGGCTCCACTGAGGAGCAGAACACCAGGCCCAGCCCCACTAGTGAGAGTCGCACTCTCCCAGGCTCGGGTTCCAGCAAGGAGCAACACCATGAGCTGAGCCCCACTAAAGAGAGGATAGAATTCATTAAATTCAGGTAAGTTATTGTAAATAATTTCCAAATTACATCATTCAAAGGCTAAACATAGTGAACTGTCCCCAAATTATTAGTTAGCACACTGTATATATCTGCCAGATAATTCCTCTGCAGGTTAGGGCTCAACAAGGAGAAGAGCTTCGGGCCCAGCTCCACTAGTGAGAGCCACACTCTCTCAAGCTTGGGCTCCACCGAGGAGCAGAACACCAGGCCCAGCCCCACTAGCGAGAGCCGCACTCTCCCAGGCTCGGGTTCCAGTAAGGAACAACACCATGAGCTGAGCCCCACTAGTGAGAGTATAGAATACATTAAATTCAGGTAAGTTATTGTGAATTATTTTAAGATTATATAATTTAAAGGCTAAGCATAGTGAACTGCCCCTAAATAATTCGTTAACACAATGAATATATCTGCCGGATTTCAACCAGATTAGATTTTTACTAAATATGAGAATTGCCAATCTGGTCTAAATCTTTTTTTTTTTTCTTTCTTTCTTTTGATGTTTCTCAAACAACAAAAAATGGTCATTAGTATACAACAGTATATATAAATATTATAAAAATGTGAAAATTGATAATCTATACTGAATCTAACCACATTTACTGAATTGTGAATGGATAGGCCTAATAGTGAATACCCTCCCTTTTAGTAAACAGTGTATTGACCAAATTACCAAATATTTACATTTTGTATAGTGTATTGAATTATGACTTGCTCAGGATTATTATTTATCATGCCCAGTATTCCCCCTAATTCAATTTAGCACATTCAAGTTTAATTTAGTAAACACTTGAGCGTGAAATTTAGAGACATTATTGGGAATAAATTCTAAATTACATATTTTAAAGGCTAAATATAGTGAACTGTCCCCAAATTTTGCTGTATATATCTTCCAGAAAATTCCTTTGCATGCTAGGGCTCAACAAGGCTCAACAAGGAGGAGAGCTTCGGGTCCATCTCCACTAGTGAGAGCCGCACTGTCCCAAACTTTGGCTCCACCCAGGAGCAGAACACCAGACCCAGTTCCACTAGCGAGAGCCGCACTCTCCCAGGCTCGGATTCCACCGAGGAGCAACACCATGAGCAGAGCCCCACTAGTGATA